ATAATAATTAATTTGGAATTCTTTTAATTAAAAACATATTATATCATTTAAACTTTCTTTATTATCTTGTTTGTATTAATTAATATATTATATTTTAATTATATTATGAAATATTGTAATTGACTAATTTTTGAAGATGCCTTTTTTGATCATTTACATGTTTATCAGCTAGTTTGTCAAACATAGCTTTAAATGTTGGCGGCGTATTGTTAGATAAGTCAGACACGAAGAATACAACTAAATAAGAAGATCAATAATTAAGAGGTGGTTTCATTATAAACTCAACTATTAATACAAACCAATCTCAATCGTAAATCTAGTCTAATAAATACCTAATTCAATAATTATCTTATATCTCGATTATTTCATAATATAAAGTATTGATTATAACAAATGAAGTCTGATAATCTTATATAAATATCCAACTCATAATAAATAAACTCTTATCATTTCTATGAATATCTCAATAATTGATTTGTATGGTTTATACTAATACGAAGTATGTTTCATTATTGATAATTAAGGTCAAGAATGACATATAATGCAAACACTTCATGTATAGAGAGGTAGTCAAGGGTCAAGGTTTCCTTCTGAAAACCCGGCTGCTACATTCTAAAGGTTTCATACCTAAGAGCATCTTCAACCGGCCGATAAAACTTCACTTTGGCGGTCGGTTTGCTCCAACCACCCGCCATCGTGGCCGACACCATATTTGGCGTGTAACTTCATCTCCGGCAAGGACGTTTGAGAGGGGGGAGTTTTAGTACGTGGTTGGTGGAGTTTTGTGTTTTACTGTGTACCGACCCACAGAAATTGATGAAAATCTAATCTATACTATATTACAAAGAATTTGACAAAAACTCTTAAAAACCATTTTTTATGCATGAAGTACTGCTTGTTGATGCATATTACTTAAAATTCAAGATTACAAGTAATTTTGCGTAAGTACAACTTATTAAGGCTCAATTTTTGAATTTGTGTAACTAACTGCAGATATACATAATCAAATACAGGATAAACATCAATTTAAAATATAGAAAATCTAAAATATTATTAAGATAATCATTGAGTTTTAACAGAATGTTTAATTATTATCCTCTAGGGAGTGTTTGGGATTGCTTATCAAAACTGCTTATTAACTTATTTCAATCTAGCAACGGAGATAAAGAATAAAAACTGAACATTAAAATCGAGATTTATCTCGCTGCATTGTACGAGTACCCTTCTGGTAAACTTTAAGAGGTTAAAATTGTCAAAAATTAAAAATCAAGTAATTTTAGGAATCTAAGTAACAGAGGTTTTTGAAATTTGGCATAACCAATTGATGAACACTTTTCCATGGGCAACAAAACACCCAACATTTTTCCTATCAATCTTCAATGGACTCTTCATCTGAATCAACATCTCTTTAACCAACTCTTTTACTGGTGATTCACCTCTGATAACACTGTGTTTGCCTGCACCACACACTACTGTAACCTTATTTGGAATTCCCTCATTATTTGTTGCATACCTCATACTAATATCATCAAACCACTGTAACAAAATCAAGTATGCAGAACCCAAATGCATTCCATGCAAATCAAGCTTAAGCTCTAAAGAAGTCAACACCATTGACTCAGCCAAAACCGATGGCTCAACCAGCTCTCGGATCAGAATACATTCATCATCCTTCAAGATTTGAAACAACGCTTCTAATGACGTGGGTTTGATCTCTTTTGGGTGTTCTAAGAACGACATTATAGTAGGACAATGATTCAAAACCGAATTATAAGTTCTAATTGAGAATGAGATTTTTGAGTTTTTCATTCTTTGTAGCCATGACACCATTTCCTTAAGTTCATTGTGAGATCCCAATGAAGAAATCACCATATTTGAGGAAACCACATCTAATTCAAAACCCTCATCCTCCATCAGACATATAACTCTCTTCATATCTTCAAATAACCCCAATCTTCCATATGCATAACTCAATGACCGATACTCAAAAACAGAGGGTCTAAGCCCTTTGTTCTTCATCTCTACCATGAAACTCTCGGCCTCATGGGGCAAATCAATTACAGATAAACCTCCGATTATTGATTCATACGAACGCTTCTTAAGGTAATTAGATGAGGAATGTGAAGGAAGTTGATTGATACGTTCATAGGAATCAAATATCTCATGCTTTGAACGGTGCTTTGAATGAGAATCGATCAGGTTACAATAGAAGTTACAAAGATCACGTTCTCTACCCCCTAATTTTGTTTCCACTTCTGACACTAGGGTTTGTGCTTCATCAAATCTTTGATGCTTGCATAGTGAAGCAATGACATCTGCAACAAGCTTAGCATTCCAATTGAACCATGATGTTCTACTGATTGTAGAATATAACTACAAGTATACATATACAGCAAGGCAACTTCAGACAGATATAACGTATAATGAATGATGTTTAAAAAACATAAATTTAACAGAGATGTCTTAATCTTCTAAATCATTATTAAGGATTCATAATGTACAGATTGATCAAAATTAAATAAAAGTAATGTAACCCTCCGTTGTAACAGTAGTAATCAAGTAAGTAATCAGCAAGTTTTTAGTTCTAAAGAATCATACAAACCAACAAACTTTTTGTGATTATATAGTTAACATAATTGATAGCAGTTCTACTTATCCTTTTAAAATTCCACGAACAGTTAAAATTGAATTTCACAATCAACTATTCTTCAGTTTTTTCAATCAAACTTTGCATTTTGTGTTAAAATTGAAATTTCACAATCAACTATTCTTCAGTTTTTTCAATCAAACTTTGCATTTTGTGTTAAAATTGAAATTTCACAATCAACTATTCTTCAGTTTTTTCAATCAAACTTTGCATTTTGTGTAACACAATCAACATATGAGCAATCAATAGATCATCGAGAGAGAGAGAGATGACTTACGGGGAATGCTAGAGGAGAGAGACGAGAGAAGGAGGTGTTGTTCGGAGAGACGAGGTGTGAGATGGCATCGAGAGCTACGGATTTGGAGGATGAGGCTACAAATTTTCGAATCAACCGATCGGTGGTGGCCGGATCGTCGGTAGTAGCGACTGATGTAAGAAACCGGTGGCCTTGTTTACTCAATGCTGCACAAATTGACGGCGATATCGGTTGCTCAATCCGTAAGGAAGTCTTGTAACGGTGGTTAAAGGACGGTGGCAGTGACAGTTGGAGACCGCCGGCCGTCGTTGCCATAACGGAATCCGTATGCTGCCGTTGCCTACGAACCCTCTTATCCTCCGGCTTTTCGTGCTATTTTTTGCCTTGTTTATTTATTTATCATTTCCGCCTTAAATATTTTATTTTACAAAAATGGATCACATGTTAAACTATTTGTATAATTCAACGAGATACATCTTAATTTTAATATTTTTTTTATCTTAGTTGATGTTATAATACGATTTTATATAATTTTGAAAAAGTGATGATGTTTTTATTTTTGAATAAAATATAAATTTGAAGATATTATAAAAATTTGACAAAAATATATAGATATTAGTATCAAATTAACTATTTAAAATTCCTATTTTTTGTATAATTTTTTAATTCAATTTTTTATATTTTACAATTTAATTTATATTTGGTAATGAAATAATTTATATTTGGTTTAATAATATAWTTTTTTATAAARATAATAATTAATTATTTTGTTAGAACTCGATAATTATCCTAATCATATTTTAAATTTTTTATATTTTAAAATAAAATATTTATCCTCTATTTGATTATGTTTATAAGCAGCTAGTTACACAAATTCAAACATGAAGTTTTAATAAGTTGTAATTATATATAATTTACTTGTAATCTTGAATTTTAAGTAATATACATCAATATATAGTACTTCATACATAAATAATGGTTTTTAAGATTTTTTTTTTCAAATGTTTTATAATATAGTATAGATGCATTTATTTTATTTTATTTTTGGAAAATAAAAAATTATTTATTTTATTTGAAAAGCAGTAAATTATATAAAAATGAGCAAGAAAAAAAAATACACAACTAGAGAACCACTTGTAGTTAGATGCAACAATTAAAAGGAGACTTAACTTACAACCCAAGGAAACAAAATGAAGATAAAATACAAGTAAAAACAAACCCCAACAATTGAACAAACAAACAATGAAAACCTGAGCGCAATGAGAGGGTCACCTGGGATTTTGGAGCATAGCTGTAAATCAGTTGTCCCAAGGGATACAATCCTTACAAGAACGCCTTGAGAATTAATCATACACGCAAACCTGGATATCGGAGAACAAAACTAACACAAAACTTGACTTTTTAAGAATATTAAGTACGAACTATTAAAACTTCCTTATTGTACACTAGTCCTCATTAAGGGTTATATTTGGAAGAAAACCCTAACGACAGTAACCAATGAATCATTGTCATTCGTCATTCCAAAAAAAAAATCATCATTGTTGCTCTACACAACATCTTGTACGTCATGGTTTTCGAAAGGCAGTAGTTGGGAAATGTGATGTCGTGACGGGTGAGTAACGATTTGATGAAATACCTCAAGGGAAAGTACATACCCTGCATACCTAATTAGAAATCAACAGAAACCCGTATCATACAAAAGGCTTGTTGATGGTACTGTTGACGTCCTGGTGATATGAGCCAAGAGGACGTCGCTCATGCCATAGCATTCTTAGATTCCTTTAAGAAATTTCTCATTGACGATGGAGAAGTTATCATTCATATCGTCTTTGCCCATGGTTCATATGAGAAAGAATGGAAACAAAAGACAATAACAAACGGTGAAGTAAAAGATTTGAGGCAATAAAAAGCGATTGCATGAATTTTCGTTACGTGAATAGACGGCCATTTATAACAAGTGTTTCGACAATCCTGTTGCATAGTATTGGCCAGAATCAAAAGGCAAAACTGACAGAAGGAAGACCAAAGTGACAAACTTAAAGTCGAGCACACCAAGAGATGTATGCCATTTAACGAAAACAACAAAAATGTTCTTGTCCATACCGACGCATCGTTTAGATATAGCATAACATGTATTGACAAGAATGTTCCCGCAACTTAGCCCACAATCACCACTAAAGCAGGTGCGTGATATGTAATATTTGCATGTAGGGTATATGACATCGGAGGTAAAACCACGATCAATCCTGACTAGCTGTCTAGCTTAAATTATGCAATTTCGAATTCCCTGTTCCGTTGGAGCTCATTCCCAAATGCACCCACGACATAATTATAATGATTTTGTTATAAGTAACATCAAATCCGTACACATGATATGGGTGATCTAGGTTTGCATCTATGAGTTCCAAACCTCGACGGATTCTGTTATCATCAAATAATTAAGGAGATATATCCTCTTAAATGCCCTTCTAAAATTCGTCTTAATGAAAAATTTGACAAAAATAAAAGTGATGTCGATCTTTATAACGAAACATCTGATTTTTTTTTACAAGATCTTAAATAGATGAAATGAAACAATTAGTTACAATAAAACATGAAAGAAAAAGACGATGTTTGAATGTGTTTTTATTACTTAAGTTCTAATACTTTTTTTTTTTTGATTGTGTTGAAAAAACTAATTATATAAAAATAAAGATATATAAATAATCTTATCTATAACAATATCAAATTAATTATTTAAATAAATAAAATAATATTGGATTTCAATAAAAAAGAAAGTTATGGTGAGAAATGTAACTAGAGATCTCTACCCATGGATCAATCGTAATTGAATGTCAACATTAATGAGGTGTACCGAGATGCACCAAATCAATTATCTTCTAAAACATAATTCGTAGATGAATACTAGAAGGGTACTCGAGCAATACAACGAAATACATCTTGATTTTAATATTTTATTATATTCTTTATCTTAATCGATGTTATAATATGGTTTATGTGATTCTGAAAAAATGATGATGTTTTTATTTTTGAATAAAATATAAATTTGAAGATGTTATAAAAATTTGACAAAAATATATAGATATTAGTATCAAATTAACTATTTAAAATTCCTATTTTTTGTATAATTTTTTAATTCAATTTTTTATATTTTACAATTTAATTTATATTTGGTAATGAAATAATTTATATTTGGTTTAATAATATATTTTCTTATAAAAATAATAATTAATTATTTTGTTAGAACTCGATAATTATCCTAATTATATTTTAGATCTTTTATATTTTAAAATGAGATGTTTATCCTCTATTTGATTATGTTTATCCGCAATTAGTCATACGAATTCAAACATGAAGCTTTAATAAGTTATACTTATACATAATTTACTTATAATCTTAAATTTTAAGTAATATACATCAATATACAATACTTTATACTGGTTTTTAAGAGTTTTTATTAAAGTATAAATATGTTAAATGTGAATAATTAGCATTACTCGTATTATGTTGTATACAAATTACAATGGGGGCAGAAGGAGGTTATTAATTCGAGGGCGGTCCTTATCGGGGATAGGCACAAGCAAACACTGAATCGAAAATCAGGATTTGTTACGAATTGGACTCCATGATTCCTTCTAGTTCTCGGTATTTGCTAACACTCGATTCCTAATCAGATTGATTGATTTTTTTAGATTCGTTTGATTAAATTCCTTCATTCAGATTCTTATTCGAGCCAGTTGGATCAAAAAACCGTTTGCGTAAATTGTTATTCTTCCTGTAGGATGACGAAGAAAAGGGACCGAGCGAGTATTGATATGGCGGTGCTCGATATTTGCCGCCGTGAGGTCGGCCATCTTTCAACCCGAAAATTCGCCAACAGACTTGCCGCTTCCGAGGTATACATTTTTATATAGAGAGATTGGTATGATCTTAGTTCAGTTGCTTCGTTCTTATTGCCGTTTCAACTTATTGAAATCATGCTTATACGTATATATATATATATATATATATTCAGGCGCCTTCAATTGAATTGATTGTGGTATGCCAGATGAACGTTTCTTGAGGGCACACTTTATTGTGAGCTTATTGCCAGGCAATTTGTGGATGTTCTCTTAAAATCATCAATGCCGTTCTAGTTGTGTTGTGTTGTTTTGCTTGTTCTCTGTTTTTATGAGTCTTACGTGATTAGGTAAAATGATTCAGAGACTGCGGAAGACTATGATTTTTTAGTAAATCAGTTACATGTACATGTGAATGCTCAATGGCTGGTCACTATAGTTTCAATAAATAATACTTGTATTCGGTTTACTGCATTTGCTCCCTTAGGTGTTTGTGTTGATTATAATGAACTTAGCATCTTTGATGGGTTTTTTGTCAATGAAGTTACAACTTCTGCTTTTGATGACGATCTCATGATTGTTTTTTGTGTTAGGATCTAGTCCTAAGACTTGATCTTTTGAGGAAGCTGGAAAAACACCGAGGTTGTGTGAACACTGTGAGCTTCAATGCAGATGGAGATATTCTCGTGTCAGGCTCAGATGATAGGAGAGTTATACTTTGGGATTGGGAAACTGGGAATGTTAGGCTCTCTTTCCATTCAGGCCATAATAACAATATCTTTCAAGCAAAGATCATGCCAGGCACTGATGATCGAAGCATTGTAACTTGTGCTGCTGATGGCCAGGTATTTTTGCTTTTTTTAGAACAAATATAAATCAACTTTATTCTGTTTTCTACTGAATATATGGTAGTCACCTAGTAAAAGGTCTTCCTGGTGAGAGCAAGAATTGTAAATCAGCTTTTCTTTGTTTTCTATTTAATACATAGTAATTACTAAAGGTCTTCCTTATGGGGAGTTTTTTTCTTTCTGACAGGTAAAAGGTTGCATTAAAATTGTAGTATATATTGCTGAAACTATGCAAGTCAACATCATATTTGTTTATTATAATAGTATAATCCACTGTCTTAATTTTTTTTTCATGTTTACTTACTCCTCTTTTTGATAGCATTGTTTTAGAATTTATATTTTATGCTCTATATTAATACCATGGTGTGAAAGATATGTATTGAGAACCTATGCAATAGGTGAGGCATGCTATGATCTCAGAACGTGGAGAAGTGGAGCCAAAGTTGCTTGGAAAACATCAAGGAAGAGCTCATAAGCTAGCCAATGAACCTGGGAGCCCACACATCTTTTATACGTGTGGTGAGGACGGACTTGTCCAACATGTAAGTAATTATCCATTTGGTTACATTATGTGTATTCTATATTCACTTCTTTCTTTGAGTTTAGCAAGTTGGTGTTGTGTAAATGTCTCTCAATTAGGAGCCCTCACAATGAGTGTATTTCTATGATCTTATTGCTTCAATGTTTGTGCATCTAGTTTTTTTCGTTTGCCTGCTAAATTTATTTGTCATTGCCTTTTTCAGTTTGATCTAAGGACAGGAGTGGCCACAGAACTTTTTAGTTGCCAACCCATGCCTGATAGAAGTTTTGTAGGAGTTGTTAATCTAAATTCCATAGCTATAGATCCAAGGAACCCTAATCTGTTTGTGATCGCTGGTTCAGATGAATTTACTAGACTATATGATATCCGTCGATATAGGTGGGATGGTTCGTCTGCTTTTGGTAAATCAGCTGACTATTTTTGTCCCAGACATTTAATTGGTGATGAGAATTTGGGGATAACAGGATTGGCGTTTTCGGATCAGAGTGAACTTCTTGTATCCTACTGTGATGATTTCATCTATCTCTTCTCAAAGGATATGGGTTTGGGGAATGATGCAAATGCAATTTTAGATAAGCACGCTGCTGGTTCTGATTCAGAGATAGAAACTGATGGCAAAGGCAGTCCCCAACTCTACAAGGGGCACAGAAACTGTATGACAGTGAAGGGTGTTAATTTCTTTGGACCAAAATGTGAGTATGTTGTGAGTGGGTCAGATTGCGGCCGGATGTTCATTTGGAGGAAAAGTGATACGAAGCTTGTACGTGTTCTGGAAGCAGACAAGCAGGTGGTGAACTGTATCGAAGCCCACCCACATACAACTATGCTTGCCAGCAGTGGGATGGAACGTGACATAAAGATCTGGACTCCCAGTGCAATTGAAAAGGCAACTCACCCCACAAACGTCGAGAAGGTATGCTTCCTTGCTAAGAACTATATGGTTATACTTGAACCTGTCGTCTCAGTTCATGTGCTAATATGTCAGATGATTGCTAATAATCTTAAGTTGAAAATAGTTCTGCTTTGCCTTGTGCTGTTTATCTGCATAAGAGGTGACATATTTGATCAGTTCAGGATACTTGTGCTGTTTAATGCTTGGCCGCTGTTTATCTGAAAAATCCAGTCACTGAAAAATATTCGTAAAGCAAATCCAAAGTTGTTTAGCAATTTTAACTATTAACGAAAATATGATTAATACTTCCTGATAGGAAACGGCCCACTAGCCCAAGCCCAGTTCTAAATATGAATCCTATTAGGAATAAGAGGGTCATGTTAGAATTTAGCTTTTCTGTTAAGAGTGGTCGGCTTATTTAGCTTGGGCAGGAGGGTAGGCCAACCCTTGGCGCCCTTTTTGATTTTATCGTTGTATTCCTTCGATTTCCAGTAATTCAGCATCTTAATCCTTTTGGTCCAGTTTACTTATGATTATTCAATTCTCCTTTCTATTAATGAAAATATGATTAATACTTCTTATAGCAAAAATATCAGAACAGCCATAGCATCTACAAACTGCATACATCTTTGCTGCATGTTATCAATGAGTAGGAATGGACTTGTAGAAAAATCCCCAAATAAACGACGAGAGTGAAACAGGTGTTGACATATCTGATTTAGTATCAAATATAACAATATCAGCCTTTAATCATATAATTAATTTCTTCTGTTGTAGCAAAAGAGCATGCAAACTTCGAAAAGTGAATGTTGGTAGAGATGCAAGGATTGTAGCCTAAAAGCTTACTGGATTTTCTTGGGTTCCATGAGTTGTCAAAGATCGATGCTTTCTTTGCTGTACTTGTTAAGTGTTATTAGCATACATGATATAAGTCAGGTTTTTGGCCTTCTCTTCCTCTTAAGTGGGAAAAAATCTTCTATAGTGCAGATGAACCCCCTCTCTACAAAATTGAGTGAGAAGATCCTTAAAACCCAAGGAGGTTGACGAACGAAGATAAAATCTGATCAGCTTAGGAAAGTCTAAGCTAGGTCTGAACATGTTCACAATATTACACAATATTTTTTTAAATTTTTTTAAAGAAAAATGAAAATATCAGTCATGCTTTTAGGAAGGTGAAGCACTGTTAGAATGATGAGGCACAAATTTAGTAACTAGTAAGGGTTAACTTGTCAACAAAATGAAAATCTATTTTTCGACACTGGTGCATCAATAATATCTTTTACGTGTTCATGCATTGTTTAGTTCCCTTTCTGTTGATTCCATTTGGCTATTTATTTTTCTGCTTGTTTTGGGTCAATTTGTTATATAACTTATGTCCATTGTCAATTTAGAGCAGAAAAGTTAAATTCAATTGATAGATTGGATGGTGTGACCTTGGAATATAGAAAGTGTTACTAGATGATGTAGGTCATCTAGGGAGTGAGTTATATCTATACAGGCGTCTTCTGATCATTTTTGCTGTCATTGTTTTTGGATAAGGTTTTCGAGTCCCGTCGATTCCGTTTCTTTCCATTTCCCGATTCTGATGATGGTTCAGATGATGAGTATTACTCTAACGACGATGATGAGGATGATTATGAGGAGGATGATGATGATAGTTCCAGCAATTATAGTGATACTGAGGATGAGGATGAAGATGAGGATGATGACTTCGATGATGAGGATGAGGATGATGAGGATGATGATG